AAAGTGTACATAATGTGTTAGGATCAAATCAGAGTAATTAGCATATCTATCACCTTAAACACCTATTTCCTTGTGATGAGAACATTCAAAAACCTTTCTTCTAGTTTTTTGAAAACATAGTTCCTTATGTCAACCATGACCACCACGCTGTGCAATAAAAAACCAAAACTTACTCCTCCTTTCAGACTGCAGTCTGTGCTGATTTCGCTCCTCCCTGCCCCCTACCCACCCAGTCTCTGCTAAGCACCTTTCTACTCTTTGCCTATCTTATTTCACTTAATGTAGCGCTTCAGGGCTGCGCATGCTTTTGTACTTAAGCTAGCTTTGGCTGTGCAGGGAAACAGCATTAGTTATCCTGCTGCAGAAGCTGTGTCCTGTGGGCAAAAGCCATCACGCTGCAGTGCGCTACACAGACACACTGGGCCTCCTCCCTCCATAGAAAGGGATGTCCCTTTTCTCAGGTGTGAGCAGCAATATCATAAGGGCAGGCCAGCCTCCCCATCACCACCCTGTCCTCAGAACCTCCCCAGGAAAGTCCTGGCCTCTGGTCCCAGCTGTCCTCCCTACTAATTGTGACTGTGAACCAGTTCTGTCCTTCTCTGTCCTCACATCCTTAAGGGTAAAATAAAGGGCAGTATAGGTAGAGCAAGGTTTTCATGTCTTTTAATGTCTTAGGACCTCTGTTGTGTGCTTGAAGCAAGTAAGGCAGAGCTGAGACCAGCAGAGCAGCCAGGCTCTGTCTACAGGTCCTGCTGATGGCTGCATGGTGTTTGACTATGGGACTTAGCACATATATAGGAGCTACTTTTAAGTGGCAGTGTGCTGTGAAAGAGAGTGGCCAGCCCAGTGCCTCGCGCACTTGCCTCTGTAGGACTCTGGAGTTTCTTGGAGGCCAGTTTGACAGCTGATCCAGGTCACTTCCGAGAGCTGTCCAGATTTACAGTTCTCTGGGCAGATTATTGTGCAAGAGGCTCAAAAGGGCACAGGGAACTACATGAAAATCCAGACACTGTTATAGACATGGAAAGAATCCACGGCGGAAGGTATGACCCCAAGCTTCTCAGCCCCCAGGGTTTTCTATTGTAGGAAGGGATTAATCAGAATGAGGAATACCAGGTGTGTAGCACACATGTCAGTGTTTCACTCCCCACCCTATGACAGACATTGCTAATGGATCACAGAACTCCACATTGCTGATGTTCCTTTCTCTAGCCATGCCCCCTTATCCTGGCTCATTCAGTGTTTTCTGTAGTCTTTCAGGTCATCCCAGACCTGGCAGCATTGTACAGCCAAGGAAGGGCTTCTGATTTGTATGGTGCTATAGTTGATTGAACTATAAACTGCAAGACTCCAGATACAAGGAGAATGCAGACCTGTCCTCCCTTTGTCCTGTGGCACCAGCACAGTTGTTTATAAATCCACACACTCCCTGCACTGTGTATTCCTAACTCAATATTCTTCACATTGACTTGCTTTTTTTTTTTTTTTTACTTAAATACCCTTTAAGTGGAAACTTTAGCCATCTACTGTAAATGGAAAGCCAAGAGTACTTGCTAGAAATAGAAAGAAATGAAATTCAAAGGAAAAAGAAAACCAGTGTATGTTAAATTCTTCCTGGCAAGGGAGCCCTGTGCTGAGGTCTTAGGCCCTTCTCTGTGGGAGGAGCCCAACAAGTGTTGAAGGGAGTGGCAAGAAACACAGCACAACACTGGCCAACGCCTCCTCCAAGTGTGGTAACTGTGGTATGGCCAGTGCAAGCAGCCCCACCCCTTCTAACTGATGTCACCTGGGTCCCCAGCCAACCCTAGAAACTCCACCAAATAGATGTGCAAACTATAGCAAGATTGGTGCCTCAGAGCTTTTATTAGCAAGGCAAAAACACCTTCAAGTGTTGTCCAGGTCATGTGATGAGAACCCTGAGATTGCAGTGCTTGAGAGGCCAGCCAACAGCTGGTCCACATCATCCTGCCCTGGGGATGGCCTGTGCATGGGGCTCTGGGGCCTCTCCAAAAGTTGCAGCTGTGTGCAGGGGTGCAGGCCAGCGAGGCTGCAGGGACAAAGTATGTCAGATCACCCAGGGGCTGGGGAGTCTTGCAGGAGCAGCTTGGCTGTTTCTGTCCTGCCATTTGGTGTGTCTCTGGCCAGTCCCTCTGGTCTCTACAAGGCCCCTGTGGGTTTTGCTAGCCCTGTTCTGTATTGAGGGAAACACTCACCCTTTGTCTCTGACACTTGGAAATGGAGCCTGACCTACGAGGGCCTCCAGGCACTGGGACCTCTCCTGCCCCTTGACCTGACATTGGACTTACCAAGGGAGGCAAAAGTGAAGGAGAAAGGGACACCTGGAGAACATTTCCCCTCAGCTCCCAGCCATTGGTAGAGTTTCTGGCCCCATCGATTCCATTTCTGGGTCTTTATCATAGCCTGTGAGGTAGAAAGGATCGGAGTCCGTATACCACTCTTCAAAGAGCACAGTGTTTCCATGAGGCAAGGGACTTGCCCTGACACATAGTTCAGATCAGGGCAGAGATCCCCATCTGCCAACTCCCCACCATGTCCCCCTCCCACCTCCAAGTGGGGGTCCCTGTGACATCAGATGCCCATACCTACCACATGCTCCGCATGGCTGGACCAGAGTAACAGAGTCGGTGCTGGCCTGGGGCCCAAGAAGCCGGTAGCCCTCAGCTACTCTAGGATCTTGTTTTCTGGTTAGAAAATACAAGATGGTTCCAGATTTATGAGAGTCTACATTTAAACTGTGCTTTGATTTTTTTTCCCCCCCACTGGGGCCAGTGCCCCTGGTGGTGGGGCTAACATGGCATGTGGTGCCAGGGATCAAACCAAGGTCCCTATGCTTGTAAGCTTGCCTAAAGCAGGCACTTTACACTGTTGAGCTATCTCACCAGCCCACTGTGCTTTGAATTTTGAATGTGGATCTTTTCCCAGGCTAGTCCAGCACTGGGTACAGTCGGGGCCATAGCTCCACCTCAGCCCTGTGGTTACCAGGGGAAATAGGCAGTGCCCTATGGGGCATGGTGTTGTTAAGCTAGTGGCAGGGTAAGTTAGGTGGAGGCAAGGCATTTTTGACTTAGGATGCATTTTTTCCACTCTGATGGGTTTATTGTGATGTAAGCCATCATAAGCGGGGGAGCTTTCCATATAGTTCAAAATCTGGAAATATAGGAAGTACTAAAAGCAAGATTTTAGCAGTCCTTCATGTTCCTATAAACCCAAAGTAAACCATTGGCACATATATATGTAGATACACAAATACACATTTCTGTATCATGCAGTCAATCCTCATTATTTGTGGGTTCCATATTTGTGAATTCACATAGTTGCTAAAATTTGATTGTAGCCCCAGATCAATCTTTGCAACACCTTGGTGGGCATTCGCAGGGGTGGGTTTGTGCTGTGTGGTGAAAATGTGAGCCCCTGACTGGGCATGCCCCGCTGGGCTTGAAGTGTCGCTCAGCCCGTGTCAGTTTTCACACTCTAAACAAGTATCCTTTCCTGGTCTGTTTATGATTTCTTTTTTATATTGTCTTGCTTCTTACTTGTGATTTCATGGTTTAAAATGACCCCTTACACTGTGCTGTCTGGTGTCCGAGGAGGCTGTGCTAAGTGTTGCTGTGTGTGTTAGATAATCTTGGATCAGGCATGAGTCATTGTACTGCGGGTCATGGTTTCAGTGTTAATGAATTTATGATATATTTTTTAAAATTGTCTTTAAAAGAAACACATCAAGCCAGGCATGGTGGTACACACCTGTAATCCCAGCTACTGGGGAAGTTGAGGCAGGAAGATGACAAGCTCTAAGTTAGCCTGGGCAGCTTAACAAGACCCTTTCTTAAAATGAAAAAATTAAATTAAATTACATTTTTAAACAATGAAAAAATAGAAAGTGATGGAGGTGCAACTCAGTACTCCCTGGGCTTAATCCCCAGTACTGAAAGAAAAAAAAAAGTCATGCATTACATAAGTATCTATTGATCAGTCACATGATGTAAATGAAAAGGCCTTCAAGGGCCTTAACCCGTGGTAAATCAGTGCTGGTTAAGTATTTGCTAAACCAGTGTTCTTGGTGCTATAGAATGTAACCACCGCCATTAATCTAGTGTATGCATGTGTGCATGTATGGGTACATTTTTATGTGCTACATATAATTATATGCACTTATCCCTGTTATCTCTGAGACAGTGGCTTCAAGACCCCCACAAGTATCAAAATTCAGATGCATAAAGTTGCATAGCATTATACATCTTTTCGTATACTGGCTGGTGGTGTTTTCTCACCACCTTAAGGGAAGTAAAGCCATCACCTATGGCTAGCCTCAGCGGCCAGGGTTCGATCCCCAGTGTGCTGTGCCAGCCCCACCCCCAGGGCATGCTGAGTCGGGCGATTGAAACTGGACGTGGTGGTGCGTGCCTGTAATCCCAGCTGTTTGGAAGGCTGAACACAGGCGGATCACTGTGAGTCCAATCTACGTAGTGAAATCCTGTAATCCCTTACTGAAATATAGAAAATAAATAAATAAATCACCTGTGGCTTGTAATACCTCATACAGTGTAAATTCTATATAAATAGTTGTTGTACCGTATTGTTTAGGGAATAATAAAGCCTTATGTGTCTAATATACACATTATTTTTTAATTATTCCATCAGTGAATGTGGAACCCACATATACAGAGAGCCAACTATAAGTTTTGAGATTGAGATAACATTGTTTTAGCACCCAAACTCCTCTCTATCAGAATTGTTTTGGTTGCCCAAAAATGCTTGTCGTACCAAAAGGGGAATTAAGTGGAAGGCCCCAGTCCATGTTGTGCGTCAGAGGGGCTATAGGCTGCCCGGGAAGCAGGAACTAACCGGGGCACGGGCCAGAGGCAGGCAGGGCTCCCTGCACTTCCGATTGTCGCAGCTCCCTCCTGCAGACCACTCACTTATCACCACAGCCCTGAGCAGGATCGTGGTCCTCCTTGCCTCTGTTGCCCGTCCTTACTGCAGTGGTGGTGAGGATTGGGCTGAGGATGAGGATGGTGAGATGGTGACAGTGAAGAGGACAGTGAGCAGAGCTTCTCTATGGAGCATTTGCCGTATCTGAGCACTGAGATATGCAGTCTGTGTGTCTCTTAATCTTCACCTTGGCTCAGCTTACTGCTATTATAATTCCCACTTCTTATTGATAGGAAACTGAGTCACAGAGCAGTTCAGCTGCTTTTCTAAGATGACACAGCCAGCTGAGCTGTAAACAGAATAAGTCCAGCCTGTTGTGATCACTGGACTCCGTGATCTCCCAGAACAGTCAGAGATTGTGCATTTCAGCTCAGGAACACTTAGGAGATAAGGCAGCCCCCCTACTCCTACCCCCAGTAAGGTAACCGCAGCCAGGGGCATGAGCAGAATTGCCTGATGCAGCAGGGCCAGCAGGGGCAGAGACAACCTGGGTTAGAGACCTCATTCTGCACTCTGTAGCTTCATGACTCTAGACCAGTGACTACTTCTGGGCCTTTATCTCCCAGTCGTAAACGGCAAGAAGTGCTAGCCTGACCTATTGGCTTGTGGGGAGTATTGGGGAGGGACTAAATCCCTTGCCTTCTGCCCCAGCCCCCTGGCCATGGTTCCCCCAACTACCTCTCACCCTGCTCTGGCTGGTGGTGTTTTCTCACCACCTTAAAAGAAGTAAAGAAAGCCAGGACTTGATGAGGCTGGAGTTGTGATTGGGTTGGGAAGTCTGGGCTGGGGCAAGCCACACAGGCCTGCTGAGAAGTTGAGTAAGAGGAGCAGTAAATCGTGGGAGCCGGAAGTGCTTTGTGGCCTTCAAACCCCAGTTGTGGTCTCTGTGCTTCCTCATTCCCAGAAAGAGGAAATCCCAGCTGCTTCCTAGGACTCTGTGCTCCAGATGTGGGTGTGCAGGTGTGTGTGTTGGGGGGGTGGTTGTAGTGAAGCAAGTCAGCAGGTAGGGGATGGGTAACAGAAGCAAAGTGACCCGCAGACCTGGCTGGGGTCCTTCCCTACACAGCTCAGGCCCTGCCCAGAACGTGCATCCCTGTGGCGGAGGCCTCAGCCTCCTGATAGCTCCTTTTCATCCCCATTCATTCATTAAGCATCTGTTTCCGCTGTGCTCAGTACTGGGCCCTGACACCAGGAACGAGCAAGGTCTCTGCTCTGGTGAACCTTAAAGCCCACTAGGCAAGCTGTCACTGTAGCAGCTATGGTACAGTGTGATTAGCTTTGTGACAGGAAATTGGCTGCCAAGGAGATACACAGCCAGGCAGCGCAGCCTGCTATTGCGGGAAGAGGCAGTAACAGGACTCTCCGGAGGAAACAGCGTTTGAGCTGGGCCTTGCTACTTCATGCACAGAACATCCCACGTTCTGGGTTTGTCTGGTTTTCCCTAATATTATTTAGCTTGTTCTCCTCTCACCTGTATTTCCTGCAAATTAGAAATCAGTCACTGAGTTTGGGAGTCCAGTTAAATGTTTTTGGCAACAATGCTGACAAGATTTTGTAGACTTTCTATGTATCACCTTGAGGGCCTCCCAAGATCTGCTTGTCCCTCTGTGGGTGACACTAGGTTTGATCACCTTGTTACAATTCTGCAAGGTTACACATCTCCCTTTGGTGGGAAAGTAATCACGGGTCATGCTCTGACATTGACTGTCCCGCTGTGCTTTGACATTTTACCCAGTGGTTCAACAACCACTGAACATCTTTCCAGAGTAGCTCTGCCATTGACCTTTCCCACCAGCAGTGTGAGAATCCAGTTGCTGCATGTTCTCCTCAGTGCTTGTTATTTTCTACATTTTAAAAATTTTTTGTCATGTTAATAGATGCATAGTTGTATTAGTCAGCTTTCCATACTGTGACAGAAATGCCTGAGATAAGCAACTTCTGAGGAGGAAAGCCTTATTTTGGCTCATAGCTTTGGGAGTTTCAGTCCATGGTTGGTTGGTGCCATTGCTTTTGAGCCTGTGGAGAGGGAGCACATCATGGTAGGAGTGGATGGAGGAAGAAACTGCTCAGTTTGTGGCCCTGCGAGGAAAAGAGACGAGGGCTCAAGGTCCCAACAGCCCCCTCCAGGACATACCCCGAATGATCTGACTTCCTCCTAATAGGCCCCATTTCCTAAAGCAGTGATGGCAAACCTTTTACAACTTCCAATAGTAACAGACAGCTGACTGTGGCATGCATGCCCTAGGCACTGCCAGTGTCCTGGTGCTTCCACCTCCTGGCAGTAGCGCCACAGACTGGCAGCTGAGCCCTCTGAAGGTCACTTACCACACCATAGGAGTAATGGCATCTCTTCAAGGTATCAGTTCACACTTCTCTGGTAGCTAAGCATGTTGACCACCTATTCATAAGTTTCTTTGCCACCCATGTGCCCTCTTTAAGGAAATATTTGTTCAGGTCTTTTGTCTATCCTGTAATCAGGCTAGTAATTTTATTACTGTTGAATTTTGAGACTTCTAAAATATATTCCCCAGAGAAATCCTTCCTCACTTGTGTTGCATATGTTTTGAGGGCTGTGTCATTGGAGAAAGTTTTAGGATCATTTCTAGGAAACATAAGGTAGGATATATAAATCTCTACAAGAAATATGCTTTTTTAAAAAATGTTTATTTTTTATACATTGTGATAACATATACATAATGTGAAATTTACCATTTTGACTTTTTTATTTGTTTAATTTTTTTTTTTTTTTTTTTTGGCAGAACCGGGGATTGAACTCAGGCCCTTGCACTTGCCAGGCAAGCACTTATTCTACTGAGCCACCTCTCTGACCCTTTGACTTTTTTTTTTTAAAGCAGATAGTTCAGTAGTATTGAGTACATTCACTTTGTTGTACAACCACCATCCATCTCCAACCTTGTATTAGTTATAGTTCTTTAGAAGAATAAATCAATAAAATGTGTGTATAGCTGTGTGGGAGATTTATTGGTTAGGCTCATAGGATGTCCAGAGGTGGAAAAAGGCCTCAGTGCCTGTTTGCAAGGTCAGAGGCAGGAGAGTCCAAGTGGCCATCTGCACCCTAGAGAGTGGGATCATGCAGCATCTGTCCTTTTACAACTGGCTTATTTCACTGATCCAGCCGCTAGCTGTTCAGCATCCAAAGACAGAAGGGAGAGAACAAGAGTGATCAAGACTGCAGGGCCAGGTGTGGTGTGCACGCCTGTAATCCCTGTGCTTGGGAGACTGAGGCAGGAGAATCACTGTATGCTTAAGGCCAGCCAGGGCTATATAGTGAGTGAAGACCAGCCTGAACTACATGACAAGACCCTGTCGTAATAAAAGAATACAGGGCCAGCCCAGAGTCAAAGGCCTGGAAGCTCACTGAAAGGTTGTCCGTGTAAATCTGCACTGGAAGGCTGAAGAAGCTGGAAATCTGGACCCTGCTGTCCACATGTAGAGGCCAAGATTGGAGCTCTTTGGAATAGGCACACTTCCTTCTTTCCCTTTTTTATTCCATCCAGGCTGCAAGCCCATTGGTCAGTGCCACCCAGTGCGATGTGAGTATTCTCCATCACTTCGCTGGCGGACATGGCAGTCACCCACAGACGTAGCCAGAACTGTGCCTCAGTAATCTGCTAGGTGTTTTTAAGCCATTCAAGTAGACATATCCTGATAATAGTCACAAGCGCATCAAACAAGCCCTCCTAGCAACCACCATTCTCCTTTCTCCCCATGAGTTTGACTTCTCCAGGTCCCTCATATAATCATACAGCATCTGTCCTTTTACAACTGGCTTATTTCACTTAGTGTAGTGTCCTCGAGTTTCATACTGATGTCATAGCATGTCAGAATTTCCTTATTTTAAAGGTTGAGTAATAGTCCGTTGTGTGTTGCACACGTTTTCTTTCTCTGTGTGTCTCAGTTCATTTTGTGCTGCTGTGGAAAGCTATCAAGCTGGTTATAGTGAAGAGAAATGTATTGGCTCATAATTCTCAAAGCTAGGAAGTACCTGATCACAGGGTATCCAGTGAGAGCCCTCTGGGTCTGTCATCCCAAGATGAAAAGCATTACATGGCAGAAGGGCTAAGAGAAGATGAGGGAGAGACAAAGGGGGGAGCCTTTCATAAGAAACTCACTCCATGATAATGGTATTATTCCACGCACTCCTGAAATGACCTACCCACTTTCATGATAATGACATTATTCTGTTCATGAGGGCAGAGCCTTCGTAGGCCCCTCTCCTTAGGCCTCGCCTTCCAGCACTGTTGCCCTGGGGATTAAGTTGTCAGCACATGCTTTGGGGGAACAAATTCAAACCCTAGCACCTTGCATTTATGGTGAACACTTGCGTGTCACCACCTCATCGCTGCTGTTGACACTGCTGCTCAAGAAGTTGGCTTTTGACTCCCTAATACCAAGCCACAGGTGTTACCTGGGTTTGGAGTATAATCTCAAAGCCAGGTCAGGGGTGTCAATTTTTGTGTGGTTGCAGGTAGTAGAAGCTAACTCTTAAGTGTTTCAAGAAAGAAAGCAACTGTGTTTTCATGAGCTTTCCATTACTACAGTAAAACTGTCTGCAGCAACTAACTTACTAAAGAAGAATGGTTCATTTGGCCCAGAGTTTAGGAGGGTCATATCCAGTATCAGGTGGTCCATTGGTTTGGGCCTCTGGCAAAGGTGCCAGGTGGTAGTGGCAGGACTGTGTGTTAGAGCAAACCATCACATCCTGAGCCTGAAAGCAATGAGAGACAGAGAGACCAGAATCCCACAGTCTTTGTCAAGGGCACATTCCCAAAGGACTCACCTACTCAGTTACACCCAAACCCTAGTGAACTGTTTTGGCCCATGTAGCAAACTGTCTGGGTGTAGGCTGGTAATAGTGTATCAGATGCTGTCCCCAGGACTCAGCCTTCCTCTCTCCTTGTTCTGCTGTCTTCTGGGTGCCAGCTACTTGCTGTGGCATAATTCTTGGTGTCAAGATGTCCTAGCTGGCCATCACAGTAGGGAGAGTCTCTTCCTTCTAGAAGTCTTTCAATCAAAAGTTTCGAATTGGGTCACATCGGCCTGGCCTGAGTGAATTCCCCATTTGTCACTGAGCTCTTTGTGGCTGCA